ATTAAAGGAGGTTTTCTTCAAGACTGTGACACTCCTTCATACCAAGAGTTGCAGAGTCTGGGCCAGGAACCCCAATGTGGCAAGATCAGAATCTCTTTATAAGGAAATGATGATGGCTTTTACCTTTTTACAGTGATTTTAAGTGTAGAATGAATTTTTCCAGAGGTTCAACACTTACATGAATACTACATGCAGACACAGATAAAAGAATCCAACATTTGTAAGCACAGAAGACTCATTCTAAGAAGCACTTTTTGCTAGTTCTTTCTGACAATTATTTATTTTTCATTTTGAATGAATTAGCAAATGTTTAAGCTTTCCTTAATTTAATTTTCTAATGTAATAAATATATTAAAACTATAAAATATATATAAGCTAAAAAGAAAAAAGCTCTTTGAAAGATGTACCTTTAAGAATGTGGGGGGAGAAAAAGAATGTGAAAGGGTCTGAGAACAAGTTGATGCCTTTGAGCTGTGGTGCTGGAGAAGAGTACTTACTGAATATACCATGGACTGCTAGGAGAACAAATAAGTTCGTCCTGGAGAGGGTGAAGCCAGGCTGTTCCTTGGAGACAAGGATTCTGAAGCTTCATCAGACATACTTTGGGCATGGTGTAAGGCGGGATCAGTCCTTGGAGAGTGACATCATGCTTGGGAGGGTGGTAGGACAGCACAGGAGAGGAAGACCCTCCATGAGATGGATTGATTTCATCACTGGGGTAATGAGGCTAAGTGTGTCAGAGACAATAAGATTAGCAAGAGATAGAGCAGGGTTTAGGGCTGTTGTACACTGAGTTGCTATGAGTCGCAAGCAACTGGACAGCACATAACAACAATAACAACATTGCCCTAATTGGATATTAAAAAGAAATCTAAGTGGGAGATTTACTCCCTTTATATTTCACCAAATTATCAGGATAGTTTAGAGCTTCTAGGAAAAATCATGTCCACACACTAACATGTTATGCATTTTGATTGATGAACTTTGTGGCTTTTGTTCTAATGCCTTCCTTTTTTCACTCTTTGACATAAAGTTAAACTTGCCCTTAAATATGTCACATAATTTAGAAATTATCTGTCTAAAACCTAAGAAATGTTCAAAAAGTATAATTTCAATTTTCAAGAAAGTGATGATCAAAAAAAGAAGGGAATCAGGAAGCCCATCATGAATCTAATAATTTTGTAAATGGCATCCACATTTCAACCTAATCTGGTATCATGGTTTGTAACTACCCTTCCATCACAGATGAAATAAAAATTATGTTAGACATTCTAAAAGCCAGATTTTATTAGGTACTTTTATTAGAATAGAATATGCTGAAACATTTGCACATAAGAAATTTAGTATTTCATAACTAAGGCTATATTTCATAACATTTGACTTCTTCCTGAAAAATAATGCTACATGATATCTGCTTATAAAATGAATTAATGAAGCCAAGTTTGTATTACAGGAGATCAGAAAGTAAACACTAGAGAAGAGCCAATGATCTCTCAACTTTGGGCTGGACATGACAAGAAGGGACCTTGTATAGTTTATCTGACTTATTCTCAAAATCCTTCAAGATGGTGACAATTTCCTATTTTACTGAGAAGACTCAGGTTCAGAACAGTTCAGTAGTTTGCCCACAGTTATTAGGCTACTAGTGGCCTTGCTAAAATTAAAACCATCTTCAGACGTTATGTCTTATGCTACTCCTAAGACATTATACCATGAACTAATATTCTTTTCTAAACTGGGTGCTTTAAATTCTGAAAGAGATGAAAATCAGGCAGATATCAGAAAGCAAGCAGATGAGTAGAAGTTCTTCATCTGAAATGCCTGTTGGAATATGTGATGCTTAAATCTCAGAACAGCAGAGCAGTAATCCTCATCCAGGGATCAGACTAGGGGATCACAAGGAGTCTCCTTCAAGAGGCCTGGACCTCCAAAGGGGAAGGGAATCTCTCACCTAATTTCCCTCAGCTCTGCTGGGATAATGACAAGTCTGAGGGTCATTGCTCTAAAAAGATCTCTTGTTTGAGCAATTTTCCAGAAATAAAAGAATAATTGCTAGAACAGTCATTTCTGCCTTAGTAGAATGGATCTTTTTGGTTCTTTCTGATATGTGGAATTTTGCCTTAAGGTTTATATAAAACAAAGCAGATGAGCTGCACTTTATCTGTTTCATCTTAACTCTTCTTTTTCCTTGTTTTCCTCTGGGTCCTCATCAGAGAGCCTTTAATGGAGCCCTTTCCATACTGTACTCTGCACCTCAAGTCCCTTCCAGCAAAGGGGATTCAGGAGACAGAGGGGGTAAGGAGCTGAGATGGAGGCAGAGATAGGGACAGTGTCCTGCTTCTCAGGACACCCTCCATTTGTTTCAGCAGGCCTCTGACTTCCACCTTCCCTGCAAGGCTTCTCATTCCCCAGCTTCTGTCTATAATGTACCTCTCTCTACACTACCCCAAATCCTAGAATGGCTGATTCCTTTATAGTCTCAAAGCCTTAATATCCACAGTGCTTCAGAACGTTCAGTTCCCATAATCCCATCTCTCATCCAAACTGTTGTCTCTGTCAGAGGCACATTACATCACTCTCTGCACACTGTCAAACCAACTGAGTGGGCTTTTCTTTCAAGTCAAATTCCTCAAAATAAAACTCAAAACCCCCTATAATGTGCCCCTACTTGAAACCCCTACTCCCCTCTCTACCACCTCTCCATCAACATGTTCTCATTAGGTGCTTTTGTTAAACAAATTGTCCCCAAACCAACAGTAACAACCTGAGTCCATGTTTCTAAGTCCCAGCAAAGATCCACACAGCCTGACTCACAGGCTTTCCTCTTCCTGGCATTTGCCATATCATGTATGTAATCTTTTCTGGCTTCATCTCAATACTCTTCAAGATGGAGACTATTTTCAACTGAGGAAAAGAGGAAATTTTTGTTTTTCTTTTTACTCTGTTGTACATTTTCACACATTGTTTTTTCACACATGTTTTTCTAGACTGATAACAAGGTTCATTAAGAACAATATATGATTGGGTATTATGATTATGACAAGAGCCCAGAATGAAGGTTGCATAGTGTACTCGGGGTGGCTGGGCAGAGGGGACGGGGGGGAACACAGGGGATTGTATACCAATGAAGAAATTTTTCTTTTATTTTTCAAAAAGAAGAGTGAACTGGGGCGGGGGGAGGGGTGGATAGGGGAAAAAAAGCAAAAATGAATGAATGGAAATCCAAAATCTCTGTAAATGTTCATTAAAATTAATAAAATAAAATTTAAAAAAAGAACAAGTATCACACTTAACATCTTGCGATGTTTAAGGCTGTGTGTCAACTTATCTGCTTGTGATTCTCTGGTTTGACAGCTCTGATGCTATCACTCTTATGATGAGATACAATCATTTTCTTGAGACCTTATAGAATAATCACCTCCAAGTTGAGATCTGATATGGACAATCAGTTGAAAAGACATTTCATTTGAGGTGTGGCTTAATAGAAATATACACAGAAATCTGGTGAAACTGGTTTGCTTTTCGCTCAATCAGCATCCCACACTTGGCTCATTACTTTCTGAGTTCTGGGATGACTCAGTGGCTGGCCTGACCCAGCAGTCTTGGCTGGCAGCCTCTGAAGCCTTCACAGCTACATGATGCGGGAGAAACCTCTTCGATCAATCAATCAATCTCAATCTCTCTCAATATCTCTCTCTCTCAGAAGAGACAAGATATATGTATACAGATATAAACTTTCATTGTTTCTGCTTCTCTAAAGAGCCAATCTAAGGCACACCTCTAAAATCACCTAGTGTGCAACTAAAACCAGTGCTGCATCGATAGTAGACAGCCATGTCAACATGCATTATTAACAGCATTCAGCAACATCTGTATTCATAGACAGTTCAATTTTCTTTGCCTAGAACATATAAAAGCAAGATTTATAACAGAAAATCAAGCATTATAATAGAAAGGTCTTTATGGACAACTGCTATAGGTTGAACTATATATACACTCAAGTTCTAGGAACTGTCTGTCCTCTGTGAGTGTGAATTTACTTGGAAATGGAATCTCTGTGGATGTCTTAGGTAACACAGGAAGGAGCAGGGTGGGTTTGAATCTGAATGATGTGTTTATAAGACAGAGACTCAAACAGGTAAGACAGCCAATCAAGTGAGGGTAGAGACCAGAATCATGTTGGGACAAGTGAGCAATCATCTGGGGGTACCAAAAGCTAAAAGACATGCAAGGGCTATCTCTCAGAACCTTTGGAGAGAAAAATGGCCCTACAGATACCCTGAGAACACCACTGAGAATTAATTTCTCCTTATAAGTTACTCACTTTCTATAATTTGTGATGACAGTGCTAGAAAATTACTACAATTTCAAACTTCAGTCTATTTTCCCATAAATTGTATAGGATAACAAGAATCTCTTTTTTTTAAAAAAAGGGAAGAGTCTTATTTAAGTCCTATGTAACCAAATCTCTAAATTAAACATATTATTTGATTAATTTAAAGAATGCATTTTTACAATTTGACACTAGCATTCAACAGCGGATAGTGTGAATATTGTAAAAGTACATCTTCACAAAGAAAACAGCATAATATTAAGAGTAAAAAGGACTAACACTAACACATAAAATTTTGCTTAAAGCTTCAGTGTGTTTTTGAAGCAGAGAAATAGGAGGAAAGAAGGAAAACACTGTTTGCTTAAGGAACTATGAATTCCATCTTCTTTCTTTGCCTGCAGAACAGAGCTTCCTGTGAACCAGGGGCCATCACCGTTCATCCTTCTTCCTCAGCTCTTGCTAAAGAAGAATTCAAGAACGTCTAAATAAATATATAAGTGTATGGGCAATAAGTAATAAAAACAAAGGGTAATGAAGGGAAAAATGAGTTTTGCATACAGTTTATAAGATAAAAATTAAGGCATTCAGGATTAAAAAAAAATCCACTGAATAAAGTAACTGCAATGAGAGGCCTATTTACCAAAAAGCAAGATGCAACTTGGCTTACCTGATGCACAGGCACTTTCTGCGGGGTGTTCTGGGGTGAGGGGTGGAGCTGTGCCCACGGCTGGTGGTGAGGGTGTGGTGGGGGTGAAGACTGGTGGTGCACTCCTGGGTGGGGCTGCATTGGAGGGCAGGTCGGCAGCTGCTGGAAGGGTGGCTGCTGGCCAGGATGCTGTATTGCTTGGGGGTCACCAAGGCCAACACCAGGACAACCATTTGGTCTCATGTGCCCGGCCAACTCCCTTGGTGCTGAGGACATGCCCATAAATGGACGAGACTGCTGCAGGTTTCTGGGGCCCATATTCCTCTGTCCGATTCCCATGGCCCCTGGAGGCTGGTGAGATGACTGAGGGTGGGGGATATTTGGATAACTGCCAACTTCCATGGGCATCCCAGTACTTCCAGGCCTGACCTGCGGAGGCGGTGTACCTGCTGGGTTACTCATCGCTTTCATGGGTGACATGGGAGGTGGAGAGGCGTAAGTTCCCTGAGGCTGTGAAGGGTGCATAGTTTGTGTGTTCATTTGGTTAAGTGAGCCGCTGGGGTGGATGGGCTGCTGGTGCATTAGTCCTTGACCACTGCTTGATGGAAATCCTACAGCATTGGGGTATCTTGGTACGGACTGATTCATTGGGGTATTATTCGTAAGGCCTAAATTTTGATTCATCCCTGTATTGTTAACTAATCCCTGATTTAGGTTACTGTAAGGATATCGAGAATACTGCCCTGAGTTGTTTATAGTAGGTGAGGGAACTGTCTGGCTCCGAGAACTAAAGTTAAGGGTTTGTGGCCTAACGGTCCCTTGTGGAGGAGGATTAGGGGAGAATCTAGGACTGTGGGCAACGGATTCCCCATGGAGAGCAGTAGGGGGGTGGTGATGGAACTGCTGCACTGGGTGACGGAGGGAAGGTGCCATGCTGGGGCTCTGCTGGGGCACATGGGACAGGTGGCCAGATCCTGAGGTGGCAATGAAAGGATTTCCCTGATTGAGGCCCTCTTGGCCTTGGGAAAACTGGCTCATCCTCTGCTGGGGCTGACCGTGCTGCTGCATTGAGAAGTCCCCATGTGGCATATAGCTCCCCATCTGCTGCATATGCGGAGGGTGGCCCTGAGGAGCTGATGGAGTTGGCTGTGGTGGGGGTGGTGGCTGCTGCTGCTGCTGCTGGTAGGGGGCTCGTATCTGGTCTGGGACCTGGACAGCCCGTGGTCCCCACATTGAACCACTGTCCACAAAAGACTGCCCATGCCTTTCATTCTGGAGGCCTGGGTAGACGCCCATCTGGCCACCGCCATTGCCAGCATGAGGGACCTGAGGAACAGGAGGGGGGTGATACTGTGAGTGAGGAGACGAGAGTCCATTCCCAGGGGCACTACTCATCATTCTATTAGGCTGATCCATCAGGTGCATTTTCTGTTGTTCATACTGATTATAGTGATCAAAATGGGTCAACTTGGTTTGATTTTGATTAGTGGAGGGATGATGAAGGGATGACTGCAGAGAAGCAAAGCCTTGTTCTATTGGCATCTGCTGGCCCATGGGGTTGACTGGATTTTCAGGGTAGCCACACTCCCCAAGGCCTTCAAGACCCTCGCTGAAAATATTCCCATCCTCGCCAAAAAGACTCATCATTCCTGGATCCGCCATCTTCTTCCAACACACGGCTCCTCACACTTCGGCTAGGGAGCTTGTCTGTGCTTCACTTCACTGAGGTGTCTGTCCTCAAAGCCTATAATCCTTAACTAATCTTCTTCATGTCATTCCATATTTCCTTAATTCTCTTGGACCCTGCAGTGTCAGGCAAAGTCTGCATATAAAGTCCTAGAAGGGAGTGAGAGGTGGGAGGAAGGAGGAAAAAAAACAAAACAAAGAATTAGGAACAAGTGATTTTTATACACATACACACAAAGCCAACATTTTACACATCTGAACTTGGTATCCATCAAACAATACTAATCTAGGCCCCTTACTGAGCAGTATTTTATAAATCTAGTTCCCTTTAAGAGAAACTCATTAGCTTCTACCAGAAGCAGTATTATGACCAGTTACTGAGAAAGCAAGAAAACACTAACCTTAACCTTAAATTAATCCATTCACTACATTTCCTAGCATTCCATTCTTGGATGGAACAGAACAAAACAACACAACATGAAGCAGCAGCAGCAGCTGCCACAGCAGGCAAGCAGATATATGAATATAGTCAAGCAGCCCATCTGCTGAACTAAAGCCCTGGAAATGCTCCGGTTACCAACAGCACGTCCTTAACCTTATTCCCCCGAGCAGTGGAATCAGATGAGCAGCAGCATACCAAGGGCTGGGAAAAGCTCAACTTAGTTAAACTGACAAGAGAATTATCTAAATATGAAAATTAGTCATTTCATACAAATTAGATATTTACAACTATTTCACAGTAACAGGGACACTGATCAGGAACGTGTCCATAGTGACACTGAAAAGCAAGCTGGAAAACAGTATTGTTCATTAATTCTGTTCTATTCAGTTTAATGACAGAAACAGACAAGACTCAGAAAAGAGCCTAAAAGAAAAGCTCTCATTCTACAGGCAAATGACCTGCCGACTGAAGCCGCACAGCACGGGGCGCCTGTGCTCCCTCTTCGTGCCCTACGATGCCAAGGGCAAAAACAGCCCCACGAGCAGATGCACCATGCACCTGCAGCCAACGGGGCTCTGGTGGCAAAGCAGGATCCTTCAGACCACTTAGAAGGAATCCCAGATGGAGGGAGGGCAGATACAGGATGACTGTTCTCATTAGGAAAGAACAGAAAATTACTTGAATTTGGATAAAATTAAAAATACCAAAATGCAGCTCTCACGAAGCCTTAACCTCTTGGTTAACTAAGATAAAGGCTAAGCAGAGACAACAGATCACATACTGCATTTAAGGCATCACGTTTTATGCGCATAATTCCTAATAGATTGTTATCTGATTAAAGTAATTCATTTTAAAGAATCTTTCAAGAATAAAAAAAGGAAAGGGTTTTTTGTGTGTGTTAACTAAATCAACAGCCTAATAAAGAACTAATTCACATAGTAAAAAAAGTCCCTGAAATCTTAAACATCTTTGGAATTTAACTCATTTTTTCCCTCTTTTCCAAACAGTGTGTGAAGTTGGTCCACTTGCAGAGAGAGAAGTATTTGGCTTAAGCACAAGCTTAAGCACCAAGTCTGGACTTCTCTCCACATATGTGAGTGAACAAAGGGGTGGCAAGAACCACTGGGGTGCCCACCGGTGAGGCAGATAAAAACTCCAGTCTAACGTCCTCCTAACACAGGGAGGACGCTGCTTACAGAACATGTAAGCACCACTCCTGCTTCCTGTCAGGCCCACAGCTACACACTCTGAAAGGGTCTGCAGGCCTACAGGCTTCAGGTGGCAGCTGTCAACTTGAGCCGAAGGTCTCCTCCCTCAACCGCTAACTGCTATGAATTTTCTAACCCAGTTTCTCCAAAAACAGAGGTCAAACTGATGAAACTAAAGTGAACATGAATGCTGCTTTATCTGAAACACACTTACTACACAATTATGCTGCTTTATCTGAAACACACTTACTACACAATTACCTTAAAATCCAAAATAAAGAGGAGGAGAAATCTTCAGTGTCAAATGCAACCAACATGGATAAATTGAATTTACTTGTAAAAAGCTGAGGCAGCCAGTATTCATTTATTCAAAGCTGGTTCTAGCTTTCAAGGAAATAAATACTAGAACAGACTCGATAATAGCTTAAACCAGCCATGTGGACTAACTATTTACAAAAACCACCTTTCAAATTCACTTAAGGAAAAGCAGCATCTACTCATATGTCCTTGATAGCCTTGTTTGATAGGATAATGGTTTTATCCTTCAGGGGACAAAGTTGTAGACTGGGTGGGATCCCAGCCAGCTCTGTGGAGAAAGACATGAGACGCACACCCAACCCAGCAGTGCAAGGACACTATCAGGAGGAAAATAGAAATGGGTTCTCCTATGACATGAGCTTACATGAAGGCTGAGTGAAAAGGGTGTAAAGTGTTCTGTGCAGGCATGGGAAGAGACAAAACCAAAAACTCACAAACTGGAATAGCATCTCACATTTGGGTTTTAATCTTTTTCCCAGTCCTTCCCAATAAGGGTCAGTTTCCTGATTGCGTGGGAAATGATAACAGACAAATAGTCACATGATGTAGTATCCAGTGAGCATGACCTCCTCCATAATAACTATGGCCACTCTCAAGCAAGATGAGGGTGGGAAGTTTGCAACCATGGCTAATGTCTGCCATAAGTGACCATGCATGCACAGGGAGACATCAGCACTTCCTGCCTCAGTTCTGACCTCAAGAGACGACTGACAACTATGCCAGGAATCCATATGGGAGCAGGAGTACATAATTCTGATAAATTAATCCAGTTCTTTTTGGTTTGGTCTTTCCCCCACCCTTTAGTTTGATAAAAACTATTTGAATGACTACTTTTCCAAAGTCAAACCTGTAGCATATGATTTTGGATTTCTAATAGAAGAAAATGATTTTAAAAGACTTTGTGATAGCTTCCCCCTTTATTACATACAAAGTACCTATATTTCTAGATCAGGCTGTTCAATAGAGAAAAAAATATGAGCCACAAAAGTCACATATAACTTTACATTTTCTGGAAGATCTGTTTTGAAAAGCAGCCAGAAAATAACCCAATGTCATCAGGTCAGAACCAATTCATAACTGACTGCCCCCCTCCAACTGGGTGTTTTGGAGGCTGTAAAACACTGTCCATCTTATTTCTGCAAAGCTGCAAGTGGATTTAAACTGCCAAAGAGGCTCAGCTTTGGGACTAGTAAAGCAGCTCCCTACAGACTATGCCACCAGAGCTTCCCAAAAAGAAAATAAATTTTAATAATATCTTAATGTAACAAACACAAACTATCATTTCAACACATAACCAACACTGTTGTTATGTGCTCATCTGCAACTCAGAGCGACCCAATGCACGATAGCTCTGAAACCTGCCCTGTCCTGAGCCAATCACATTGACACCAACACCTACTCCCCTCACTTCAGTTACTGTGTCAATCCGTCTCATCCAGAGTCTTCCTCTCCTGTGCTGTCCCTCATTCCTTGCAAGCATGATGTCCTTCTCTGAGGGCCGGTCCATCTTGGCCACATGCCCAAAGTATGTCAGACGGAGCTTCAAATCCTTGCCTCCAAGGAACAGCCTGGTTTCACCCTCCTCAGGACTGACCTGTTTGTTCTTTTGGCAGTCTATTGAATGTTCAATATTCTTCTCTAGCAACTCAATTCAACCAATAATTTTTTTAAAAAGGTAAAACCCTCTGGGGGGTTTAAGAGGCTGTAAATTGCCTGCGGCAGGAGACTGCCCATCTTTCCCCCATGGAGCCGCTGGTGAATTTGAACCACCTGAGGCATGGCCTTTCAATTAGTACCGCAACTCCCTATGGACCTTGTCACCTCAAACTCTCTTATCTCTTAGTATGTAACTTCAGCAAACCTTCTAAGCCTAGTACTTATTTTACACTCACAGTGTATCTAAAGTCAAAACTCATTGCTGTTGAGGTGGAACTGACTGATAACCGACACTCCAGTGGATTTCCCAGAGTGTAAAATGCATGGGAGTTTGGGCTCCTTTTGCAATGCTCGTGGACTCAAATCACTAGCGAGGTCCGAAGACTAACTTCTCTGCACTGTTGTGGTTATGTACCATATAAGTGGAACCAATTCACAGCTGGCCCTACAGCAGGTTTCAGAGGCAGTAAACTACATGGAAGGAATTTCCTGTCATTCTCCAGCAGAGCAGCTGGGAGATTCAAACCATATGGCTTTGGGTCCACAGAGCAACTCCTTACCACAAAACCACCAGAGCTCTCTCTTTATGGAATAGCCCACCAGAACTCTGTAAACTTAGCACATTTTACATAAAAATAGACATCTGGCTAGTGGCTACTATACTGGGCAGAAGAGTCATATTATTAGAAGAAATGGAAAGATGAAATAATTATTATTTGGGTCAATAAATATTTAAGATATGTTTGCACTTGATTTGATTTTATTAATAATTAAGTTAAATCTCAAATCCCATTAGTATATTCAAAATTAGCACCTACAATGAATGATCCAAGCACTGTTCTAGGAGCTGGAGACATGTCAGTGAGTCAAGACAAACAAAATTCCCTCTTGTCTTTGTGGAGCTTACATTCATTTGTAACATCACTAAAAAAGCCAATCTTCTTAAACAAAAACTAAACTGTAAGGGTTTATATTATAAAAATGTAATATGCCATTTTATAAAATAGTCCTTTCATAATAATTTGTGACAAGTGCTTTAATTATGTTTGATAGCTGTGTAGTAAAACACATCTACCACTTGCTTTAGCAGCTGATATACCTGGTGGCCTAGTGGTAACAAGCAACACTGAAAATCCAAAGGTACATGATTCGAATCAGTCAGCTGCTCCGGAGGAAAAGGATGGGAATCCTCCTCTCATGCAATCCTCTGAAAACCCACTGGAGGGTCAGCAACGATGCTTCATGACAACAATAGTAAAAAGTATTGAGTGGTAGAAACTGTTAAGCACTGAACTATCCACACAAAGGCTCATAGTACAAAGCCACCTCAGGCTCCGTGAAGGTAGGCCTGTGTTATGATCCCTCAAGGCCACAGCCTTGGAAATCCTATGGAGCACAGTTCTATCAGAATAGAACTGGGTTGCCAGGAATCAGAATCAATTCACCTGCAAACAACAATAGATAAATACAATGAAAAGTTAGTAACTTAGCTTTATCCTCAGTGCCCTGCTACCAAACACTTAAAG